ACAATATGCCGGCTACACGGTAGGTGACTTGTTCTGGATAAAACTGTGATGCAAGTGGATGTAGCAAATAATTGATGAAGATGCTAAAGTAAAGGAAAGGTATATTTTCACCAGTGGGATTCTATTTTTCCATCTTACCGAATTGACACTGAGGTCCAAAGAAACCACGAGGACAAGCACACGTATTCGGCCGAATGCAGGTCCCACCATTTAGGCAAACCGGATTGCAAACAGCTGCATACAATTGAGGAGAAATTCATTGGTTAGTATACAACCATACATTTTTATTCCTGGTTTTTCATAAACGATTAAGAATCCTTGTTTTAAACAAGGGTCACGATCCAAAATGGCAGCTAAGACAGTGCTTCACTGTGATCAAGACACCCCCCCCCCAATACCAGCAGTGTGTTTTATTTCTTAATTGTTTTGTAATCTTTCTCTCAGGTGGGCTTGTATTCCTGAGGCATAATGTGTTCCTCTTTGGGCAGTTTTGGATGGCTGATCAGTGGTTTGGGGGGGGTGGAGTGGGGAAGGGGGATTAGCGTAAGCAAGTTAGGCTTTCCCAGCTTGTTGGAAATGTGGTGCTATTGAGCTCTTCCATACGCTGACATAACTTCCATTTGTTCATAGCACATAAGAGGTGCGCATTGCATTTTAGCATTGCTGTAAAGGATTTGAGGAGTCTGTCAAGAAAATCTATAAACCACTTAAACCGGCATTTGTGTGCACAAATCATCTTGGTCTCCTATTGGGCAAAAACACCTTAAGGGAACCCAGGCTTGTTTTATTGGTTTGTGGATCAAATGAGAGGGTTTATAAACATGCCTTTCAAGATTTGTCGTTTGCTTCCGAACAAACCATCTTGCGACAGGCTTAGTAAGTTTTATATGAATAGATAATATTTCAGCATGCATAATCCTCCCCTGAAATCCATGAGCCTTATATGTGGGCAAAAACAATGCAGGACAGCACTCTATGGGCACAATCTAGAGAAAGTAAGGTTCACTTAATTGCCATTGAGAACTAATTGTGCTCAAGTACGTTAATAAAAATGTGTGTCTCTTTTATCCCTAAAATGCACACCACATTTGTTATTGCAGAAAAGATTTGCAGGGCTTGAAAAAGACTGCCAATCTAAACAGTCCCAGAGATTTTCCTGAAACCAATCAACAGTATAACAGCCGGAATGTACGCGGTAGGGGACAATGCTGTGCTGCCACCTTCCTGACAGCTGCATTGCTACTGATTACTGGGGAAAGAGGAAAGATAGTGGCAAGATCAGGACTGCATGGGGGCACTGGCAGGTGCAAACAGATTTCACACTGCTTCTGCCTTCTGTGCAGCCTCAACCTTCCCACCATGCCTGCCCCATATTGTCTCAGCAAACAGCAGCAACACCACAGCTGGGAGGCTGGTAGTACAGCACTGTCCCACTGCACCAGACACTCCTGCAAATTTATTTATTCATACATACATACATACATACATACATACATACATGTATTTATATACCACTGTATCCAAGAGACACACAATTTTAAAATACAAAGCACTGTTTGAAAATAATAATAATCAGATAATCATTAAAGTGACTGGTTAATAAGTACAGATAGGGTGAACTTACAGAATCAGCTGTTTGCCACAACCAGCCCTTTAGAACTTTCTTCTCCATTATAACACTTACTTTTAAGGAAAGGCCTGGTGCTGTAATGTTTTTATTGTATGTGATCTTTCAGGTGTGTGTGTGTGTGTAAAAACCTCAAGTGACTGGTTAATCAAAAATAAAATTCAATAGCTGGAAATCATCCCTGTGAGCTAAAAAAAGAAAGAAGTCTTCAGGAGATGCCTAAAAGTCAAAAGTGTGGACACCTTCCAAATATCTTCTGGAAGGCCTTTGTAATACAGGGAACAACTAACAGTGCTCCTCTGGATGATCTCAACCATAGAACTGGGTTGTATGGGCTCAGGTGGCCCTTACCAAAACAAGCAATATTGACAAGTGAACCTCAGGTTCTCTGGAAAAGATGGAGTCACCAAACACTTCTGCAGGTAGCTCTAGGACTTGTAGAACCAAAGAGAGATGCCTCTATACAACATGCTCTTTCAAGAACTACATGCTACAGTTCCTGAGCTATCAATGGCATTTCCTATGCACCAGCAGAAGGAGCCAACAGACTGTGACGTTCAACTAGTGGCCAGTGGGAGTGGCACAAGTCCCATAATAGTCAAGGGCATCTGAGGTCCTGGAGCAAGAGCAAGAACTACTGATAGGATAGATGTCACCAGATCAGAGGGCCAGGAAACGGTGTCTAAAGGGACTTTTGTCCCTCACTCACAATAAATATACTGTCAAATCTGGCTATAAATATAAATTAGGCAGTCAGAACCATAAGGAGACTGAACAGTGGAGCTTCAACGATGCCAATTAGCCCTCTGATTTTTCAAAACAGACAACACAGAAGGAGAGGGGGACACTGCTAGAAGTACATGCTGGACCTAGACAAATGATGGATGGGCATTGCCTCCAAGTGAGGGTGTTGCACCCTTAAGCTATAAAGGATTCTGCTGTACATCTTTACCTGTCTCACACAAAGGGCTGCTCCATCCAGGTTTGCATTCACATTCATCCGGTGCAATGCATTTCCCACCATTGTGACAATGCCGATTACATACCACTAGAAAAACAAATTAGTCCAAGGTTATTTGAGCAAAGTACAAAGTACTGGTTTGTGGTTTTTTGCTTCAAATTGTGCTGATCAAAATCCAGAGCGGCTATGGAAATTTTCTCAGCCCATTTGCTACTAAAACTGAAATGAGAATGATATGTCACTTCCTTTTGTTTCCTGCTGAATTATAGACTATGAAAGGATTTATACAGAGACATTTTTTAAATATTCCAGTAATATAAGTGCATATATATATATATATATATATATATATATAGCCCATCCTGGGTAAATTATTGTTCGAACATGGAGCAAAGAGTGCTATTCCAACACTATAATACATATTTGTGGTTTAAAGGTAATATAGACAGCTTTTGCTCTAAGGCAGATTATTTTGCTAACCACCCTTCACAATAGTTTGAACCTTAATGGCAAAGTTTGCTACTTTTTTATTTTCTCTGAGTATTTTTGCATTTGCTTGCATAGCCTTCAATTCCATAAGCATTATTGTACACAAGGCTTCTTCTATTATCAGTGCTCATGCACAGCAAGGTGGGCAGACTTCTTATATAACTGTAATGTGCTTTAGGAAAGCACAGCACAGGGGTGATATTCAAACTTAAATATATTTGTAGACTGTAGCTGCTACTCAGCTGTGTGCTGCTACTGAAGTACGTTTTCGAGCACAATTCAAAGTGTTGGTGCTGACCTTTAAAGCCCTAAACGGCCTCGGTCCAGTATATCTGAAGGAGTGCCTCCACCCCCATCATTCTAACGACAGCTGAAGGCAGCCCTGTTTAGGGAAGCTTTTAATATTTGATGCATTACTGTATTTTAATATTGTGTTGGAAGCTGCCCAGAGTGGATGGGGAAACCCAGCCAGATGGGCAGAGTATAAATAATAAGGCCTAAATGAAAAGGCTTATGAAAACTAAACGTAGGCTGCATTCTAGGATAATGTGTTGAAAATACAGGGGTGTCAACAAAGAATATAATTAAATTCAAGAAAGGCAAAATAAAAACAGATGCACATACATGTTTCACATCTAGGACCCACAAATCCATAAACACAGGAACAGATATTTGGAGTGATGCATGTTCCTCCATTCTCACATGAGGGATCACAAAATGCTACATTAAAATACAGAAAGCAGATAATTAGAGATTTGATATGCCACGACTGCAAACTATGAACCTTCAGGATTTGCAGTAACAGCACAAGTCAATGATTAGAAGAGAGGGCATCAATAGCTGTGTCAGCACCACCTCCTAGTATCTGAAGGTTACACCAGTATTTCAGAAACATTACGAGAGTGCTAATTGCCCATATTTATTTGTTTGCGATATCCGACGTCTGCCTACCCAAGAGTTCCAGGCGAGGAGAAAACAATAACATTAAAATCACAATTGACAATAAATCAATCAGCACCATAAAATTAAGGCCAAACACCAATAAAACAGATGGCAGAAGCAAAAATGAAACATCCCCATACCACCACCCACCCACCCAAAAATTGAGCAGAGATGTGCATCTTTACATATCATGTTTGCCCAATCTGAAATAGCTTTTGAGGTGGCGTCTTTGAAATGAAGCGAACAATTCAGGATGACGTTAAGGCAATTGTTCAACCACGGGAAGCATTTCAGCTTGCTAGATGGAACAATTCCTCCTTTCCTCACCCAAAACACTGTCTCAGGGGTTCTATTGGGAACCCCATATGTACTAGGAAACAGACGAATTATGAAAGGGTGGGGCGTTCCTGTGAGAGAGGGGGTTATTTTGGGAGGGGCTATTGGTTTTTGTATTAATTATTTATTTGTGTTTTTATCTTGTGAACTGCCATGATATCAAGAAGAAGAAGAAGAAGAAGAAGAAGAAGAAGAAGAAGAAGAAGAAGAAGAAGAAGAAGAAGTAGTAGTAGTGGTGGTGGTGGTGGTGTCTGGTTTCCACCTACCTTGAAAGCCTCAGAAAGACCTGCAGCTTAATCAATTTATTTTTAAGGCATAAATTGGGCTGGTGAAATTCAGCTCCTTCTCAAGTTTCAGGTGCCTGTACTTTGACATATGGGATCCTCCTTAATGAGGGTCCTGGTTGCGCGCACCCCCCCCCCCCGGGAGAGTTGTTGCTGGGCGTGGCCCAAGCCTTAACCATTGGGCCCCAGGGTTGCGCCGGGCTGTTTGGGCCAATCGGGGCGGTTGGCGTGATTCCTGGGGCCTATAAAAGTGGCAGCACGGCATAACTGGGGGAACTTGCATCATGTTGCCAAACACACACCCCTCCCTAATTTTAGGTGCTGCTGCTTTGGCCTTGCTTTGGATTGGGTCGCCTGCTTTGGAGCAGGGGCTGGGTAGGATTTTTTTCCATTTGGCAGATTGGATGTAGCCACTTGGTTTTCGCCTACCCACTTAGCAATCGTCACAATTGGCGGTTAGGCATTGGCTTATTGAAGTGTGTGGGAGGGGAGGTGCAGCCATGACCTGCCCCTCCATGAATAAGGGTATTCCGGTAAAGGAATCTGGGGGTCCTGGATCTCATCTGAAGTCCGCTTGAGGGGCTAGGGCCATGTCAGGACCACAGGAACCCCGGGGTGAGCTTCGTTGGTCTTCCTCAATGTTGCTCCCTCGTTTGGTGTTTACCCTTTCAGACTTCCAGCCAGAGAGTCAGTTATAGTCTGTTGCCAATGCCTAAGCCAACACCGCTCACTTTGCTGTAATCAATAAAGTTGTGGCCTAAATTTTGCCCAATAACTTAAACTAAAATTATGTGTCAGTGTGAAGTTATTTTCAAGGGAAGGGCTTGGGGGCCTCGAAGCGCAACCATCTGCAAGGTCTTTTAAGTCATTAATATTTTGGTGGACTCATCTTACAAGACATACTGCTTCTCTCTTTTAAGGTACAAACCCAGTTGAGAAGCCATCCCCTCTTTGCAACAGTCTTTGGCTTCTGCGTATTGATCAGCATAATTGGACAGTTCTGTGATTCTGAATGAATTAGTACAAATTTTAGAAAAATTGAATTGCAACGTTCAGTGAAATCCACCTACAGCTTTCCTAAAACAGTTGCAACAAATTCGGCATTTTTACCATTAAATGAAAAGAAGATGAGCATTTTATATAATGATGCAGATAAGTAACCATCCAAATAATATCATAGTATATGGTCGAAGCAGCTATTGCTTTATGAAGTGATACAGTCAGTTATATTGGGGTGGGGATGTTCCTGAAAATTGTTAGCTATTTTAACAACTACTGTCACATTGTCCCTGTAAGGCATAAATTTCACCAAGTATTATGTATTTCTTTTCTCTTTGTGAGTCATCTTTCTCTTTTCATCGTATCTTAAATTGTGAAGGGCACTGCATTTTTCACTTCCCATGCCAAATCACTTCACCTATTATTTCACACATTTATACAGAATATGAAATTAAAAGAAATCTGCTGCTTGTTAGGAACCCAGAGTTGAAAAGTGAACATCCTGGTTAGAGAAAACATAAGAAAGATATATAAAGTATAACTAGCAAGCTGTCACCAATAATAAAAAAATTTTTTTAGTACTAAATGGCTTTCCAAAGCCTGCTCATGTCTCTTATGTGACAATTTTCTTCCCATCCTACAAACTCTCCACAACTTATTTTTTTTAAATAAAATGACCCATTTTTGCTCACATTTTCTTATGTTGGCAGAAAATAGTAATAAGAACATTATTTCAGCAAATTGACAATTTTATTGCAAAAAATATATATCGAAGTAAAGCTTTTCCAAACTATTTCCACCATATAAGGATTCAATGCTTTTTGGTTTCAGTGGCCTTTAAAATATCAGGGAGTGATGATATGGTCACCACAACGTTTGATTTCCCATTTTTAATGTGAGAACACGGAAACTGCTGAGTGAATGGGGAGGCATCTCTCGTGAGCCTAAGGAGATTCCTGTTTAATACAAAAAATGCAAGTTACAGGGGTGAAAAGGGGGGGGGGGTTGAAGGGGGAAAGATATGAAACAAAAGTGATGCCAGCTAAAATGGCAAAGAATAGAGGAAATCTCACTCCTCTGTTCACCTCTTGATACCTCCGCTCAATTTTCAGATCACCCCTAATTGATCATTCTAGATTGGGAAAGCAGCTAAGGCTCATTTAGATTTCCAGTCCAAAGTTTTCCATGCAAAACTCTCCACAAGTTACCACAATGGTCAATCTACACACAATCTAATAACATACATAAAACAGTTACATATATAAAACCAATTCTCTTTATATAAGCAGTTTGAACGACAACAGCACATTCATAGAATGAATTGAAATCCAAAACATATACCAACAGGGATAAACATTTTAGAAGGCTTGTTGAAAAAGGAATGTGTTTAACAGGCACTGGAAAAGCAATAGAGCATGTAGGTATTAGTGAGTAAAAAAAAAGTTTAAGGATCTAAAATAAATGCATCACATTTTCCATATTATACAAGAACAAAGAAAGTGCAGAAGCTCCTGTCTATACTGCTGACTTTTGTTTCTGGATGGACACACTACAACCCAACCACAGCTATGCTGAAATCATGGAACTGCCCATTGTTTTGGTTGGGAAGGTGGGGGGGGGGGAGAGAAAAGAAACAAATAAGTTCTATATCCAGATGGAGATGGGAGTGGGAAGTTACTGTATCATTTCCTATCTTTATCTGCTCAACTGCGAACAACATTCACAAGACTTGGAAGCTCCAAGATCTTTTCTGGACTTCAGGGTTTTTTAATTAAATAATAATAATCATTTTCATTTAACTCTTTAATTCACTCTCTTCTTTGTATCTAGGGAGTCTCCCAAACATGTTGAAACCACTACCTTCTTTTTGAGTGGCTTAGTTCACTTCCACCCAATTTCTCTATTAGATGATGTGATAAGAATCATCACGATAGTCCTGTAAAACTATAAATGCAATGTGCTCAAGGACTCAGATTGTTTGAATTCACTGAACTAAGTGTAATTTACATCGAAATAAACTTGCAGATCTTTAAAAATCACTTTTATTTTTAAAAAATAAAACACTAGGCCATATTTGCAGACCTCTCCTACATAGCATCTGGGATACTCGCAAAAATCAGTGCTGTGTGGTTGCACTTATTTTGGCATTCAGAAATACAAACAGCTTATGTAAAATAAAATAAAAATTAACGGTAGATTTATTACTGAAACTATGATTAGCATAAATGAAACAGCCTATGCAACATTCATCTTGTTACTCTGGATGTGTTCTGATGAAGGTGAAGCTGCATTCGGTTTTTTACTTCACCTAATTAAACAATTAAGGGAGATACAACCTGTTCAAAACAGACCACAGACGTCATTAGAGAGTTTCATGTAATTACTGATCACAGTCCCATCAAGTGCTGTTGCTGTGCAATCACTATTTAAAATGGATGTACATGAACAAGAGTGGTGCCTGGCGGATAATAGCCATAGTAAATTATTTATCAACATCTAGAATAATTACATGATAAAATAAAGCCTGATGTCTGGGGCCTGCGGACAAGCCCAGTGATTCTCAACATTTAACTGCATATGATATGATTGATGGAGGTACTCTAGATTATGTGGTTTATGGACTGCGGCCTATAATAAAAGCTAACACAACTGTGGCAAATGGATGGCAGCCTTTGTCCAATAGAGGTTGCTGTTTCTAATAAGCTTGAGTAAAGCGTTCCACAATATTTTAAGAACCATATTAGGCAATGTAAACTTTGAGGCATGGCAGCTCAAAGCTGTCATGAATACAGATGAGAGGTATGAGGCCCATTTGATTAAGACATTTGAATTTATTACTGAAATTTAAACTAGTAAAATACTAGCGTTAACATTTTATCTCAGCCATGAAAAGTTGCCTCATTTTAATCTTCCTTTGGGCAACAAAGCCACAGTCATAATCTTTGTACATCTATCTGGATATTCCATTGTAAATATGCCACCGGTATAAATCTCAGGGGAGAGGAATTACATACAAAATACAATTATTTCTTGCATGTATTCATAATGATGAAAAGTTAATTTTGTCAGGCACAAGTGCTACTCAACGTTTAGCATTCTTATCCTCAATTTATTCCCTCCACAAGACATTTATTTACTGTATTCTACAGTTCTCTGAAGGCCTCATTTGTCAAGAACATTACTGTAGGATTTTGCATTACTTTATTGTTTTAACACTCTAACTACCTCAGCACCCTGGCTCTCACCACCAGGAGTTAGCAACTACTACTACTACTACTACTACTACTACTACTACTACTACTACTACAATCCTTAAAGATTAGCTAGTTCAAGCAGACACAACAAAATATCCAGTCTAAAATATTCTAAAAACCTAATTTTTAATATTCACATTTTGACATGCAAAAGCAACAGACTCCACCCTGAGCTATCACAAAGTCTGCCACCTGCTACCTCAAAGAAGAAATGTCTGCCCATGTCCTTGTAATAAACTGTGCTTAAATGCAGTGACTGAAGTGGGTTTAAAAAATGGAAATGGGATTGCTAGGCCAGACTCAGTTCTATCAGCCTGAAAGAAGTGGAATGGTACCCAACTTTAATCACCACTTAAAATAAGGCTTGTTTGATATTTTGTTGGTTCTTTGAGAAGAGTAGATACACACAAACACTTCATGTCATAAAGAAAGAAAGAAAACGGCAAGAGCCTTTTCCTATTTTTTATTCAGTGCAGCACGTATTCTGGTGCACTGCACTGTATTTCAGAAGCACTACAGATATCTCACTTGCAGATCCTGCATAGGTAGAATATTCATGACTCCTTACGCCCTAAATCAGTGGCAGCTACCCAAGAGTGATACAATAAGTAACTGTGTAAATGCTTTTTAAAAGAGAGAATAGCAGGCACAGAACAGAGCCCTAGCTGGTGTGTGTGTGTGTGTGTGTGTGTGTGTGTGTGTGTGTGTGTGATGGTTTTTTTCCTGTAACAATTTCATAAAATTCCACTATCTCATGATTTGGGAAAAATGCTTCTGTAATTCTGGAAGCACAAAACTGGGGGGAAGGGGAAAGGAAGAGAGAGAAGTGAAGGGATTTGATGGCATGGGAGAACGAAGAAGGGTCAGATAAGAATAATGTATCTGTGGAGGCAGTTGCTAGCACAGAAGGCTAAAGGAAGGTGGGAAAAGGAAATTTTGAAACAGGGAGTTTGGTTTTTGTTACCAGATTAATTTATCTGAGCCCAAGGATTTCATACACCAGAAGATCAAGTGCCACATCGGGGAAATGTTTGAATGTACAGTATGTGGCATGATTAGGGTCTGGTGTTATTTTTCTTCATTTCTGTAAACTTTGAGCTTTTAGAAACCAGTGAAAGGTTTTAATGGCGTGGAAGGCTTCTAGTGTGGGTGGATGATGGATTGTCTTTATTTTAAAGGAGTAGACTTTTGTGCAATTGGGAATATAGTTTGGAGACTAAGGATTTCACACTGTATGGAAAATCAATGGCTAAATTTGGGGAACAGAAAATAGTGCATGTGTATATGTCTGTCTGTCTATATAATTTTACTAGATGTCACTGTGTTGGTTTTGACACTGATTTTGTTTCTTCTATGAATGCTGAGTGTCTAGGGGGAAGGAACTGGTCCATTATTTTCCTGCAGTAATTTAACAAACAATAAATAACCCTCATGGTCAATCTTAAAATAAATAAAAAAGCAATCTGTATTAATTCAAAAGGGACAATCAGCATATGCTGATTGAAAAAAAACTGTCACACAGTTTTTTTAAAAAATGCTGAACTTTATTTTATAAACTAAAATATTAACTATGAATGAAAAAGTACCTCACAAACTACAGTGTAATTTGTTTTAATAGAACAAGGTAACAGAGTTTAAGTAGTTAATAACCAAATATACAAAGTAACCTATTAGCACTTCCTATGGCCATGAATAACTAGCATCTGACTTATAAACATCTATTTTCAGGTGCATATATGAAAACTTGAGATAGGCAGTGGTAAACCTGCCTAATATGTGGGGTTAGACAAGTCCTAGGAACAGCAGGTGAAGAAGCTACATTTTTTGGGCAAATAGATTTTCATGCATATGGAAATTTAATTAGATTAATAGCACAGGTTATTTAATAATAAAATGATGAATTTAATTTGCAAGAAGAATTTTGAAAGAGGAATATACCCAGTCTCCCGTAATTGTGTATAACATTATTTCACCGTGCTCCTTTAAATTGTCTAATTAATGTGCTAATTTAAGCAGGAAAGTTAATCATCTTTTTCATAATGCAACACAGTGATTATATCTCTGGAGACATGTATATCAGGTCATAGGACAACTATGCCCTCCTCACCTCCAGACTACTAGTGGAAGATTTTAAAAGTAAAGTTATAATTTGGTACAATATAAGTTGTGAGTAATTGTATAGTTAATAGACATATGGTGCATTCTGTTAGTTTCATTTATGCCTGTTTTAATGTTACAGACAACAATAGACGTTTTCCCATTTTTTCATTCAAGCAATTTGGTCATAAATTTCAGTGGTCAACTTGTTGAAGGAAGTAGACTCTACTTCTAAATGTTGTGAATTCAGACACTTCTTCCTCTATCTCTCATACCAAATAGTTGTTCCTAATAGTTGCTCCTAAGTGAGTGTACTGTCTAGCAGTTGCTAGTATATCAGCACATGATCCATGATTCTGGAAAATCAAAAACAGCCAGATATGATGTTGGAGCCATTGGATGTTGGACTCAGACATGCCCTTTGTCAAATGGAAGGGCTCCTTCCATTCATGGAATATTAACACAGGCACTACTTTCTTCCTGTCTCTTACCTTGACATTCAATTCCATCACCGCTGTATCCAAATGGACAGGGTCCACATCTGAATTTTCTGTCCTTTGTTGGCTCACAAAGCACACCACTGAAACATGGTGTATCTGCACAGGTGACTTTCTTCTCAAGTAGCAGCCTATCAATTGGTGTGGAAAGGCCCAAATGATTAGCTGGGGAGGCATGAGGCTTTCTGCCCAAAGATGTCCATACTGGAACCCTTGTTTTTGTAGAAGCCCCTGCTGGGCGGATGGGGCCTTGTGGGGTTATACCAGAAAAAGTAGCTTTCAGATGGGATGAGGAGGCCAATGGTGTTGCTAAAACAGAAGTACCTGGGCGGCCTGCTTTAAAAGCAAGAGCAGATCTAGTGTGTGAAGTCCCAAGAGACTTTTTCCCAAAAGACTGTCCATCAAATGAGGTATGAGTCTGCAAATCAGCATGTGGCCTTGTATTTAATTTCTGTTCAGTGGAAACATTTCTTCTAGCAAGTGACTGGGCATGAATCTTATAGTGTGATAAGATTTGGGCTGCCCCTTGGTGAGTTGTTTCATGGTGCAGAAGAAGGCTCTGGGTGCTGTTTTTCGCTTCATCTAATGAAATGCGTCTGTGAAACAGTTTGGAATTCAAAACCAGCTTCTTCACAGATGATGCCTGAGGCCAAGGTTCCACTCTTTCACTGGCTAGTGGCTGAATGTCAACAGTGATAGGATATCGAGCTGTAAGGAAAGTTGTTTCTGGTTTGGAGATGTGGACTTGTGAGAGCCTCGAATCAGTATTATTTGATCTCTTTAAGTCATCTTGAGTGGAAGAAACCTTAACATCCCCGGTGACTTTCATTGGTACATCAGTCACACTTTGGGTGGACCTTGACACTAAAAAGAAAGAAATACGGATCAGTAACAGGAAGTATTTAACATTTGCTAGTGGCATGGACAGCCATGACATGGCATGGGAGATATGTAGTCAGAGAATCTCTTGTGGGTTTGATTAGGGAAGTGGTGCTGTGGAGAGATTGTAACCCTTTCCTCTTTTGCCTATCAAAATCCTTCCTGAAGCTGCTATAGTTGGTTTTGAGGGGGAAATAAGTAAGTGTGATACAGGCTCTTTCTTGTATGTCACCCCTTTCAATCTACCTTAATAGCATCTTGGGAAGGGGGAGAATTTCTACCAGGAAAACAACTGCTTTCTCAGTATGGCTTTCCCCCTTTTCTATAATACACATGTGAGTGTTAATTAGTAAAATAAAAACTTGAGTGGAAGAAGGTGGTATATTTTAAGGGTGAACCTCAGCAAAATGGCTTGAGAAAGATACTAGAATGCACCTTCCAGCTTTGCATACCAGTTCAAATTATCACAATTATATAAATACACTGTAAAGGATGTTGTCAGGATGATCTTTTACATAGGACCATAGGAATCTAAGTGAGAACATTTGTAGCTCAATATTGTCAACACTGAATGGAATCATTTCTCTAGTATTCAGACAGGAGTCTTTCTCAGCCCTTCCTGGAGATGGTGGGGACTGAACCCACCAACTTGCATACAGATGCTCTATCACTGGGCTATGACTTTACCAGATTTTGATGTGTTTGCAAAAATAGTGCATATGATAAACACCTTTTTGAGACCTAGAAATGCATGCTATTTCTTAATATACTCTTACTGTCACCCCTCTCCATGGGAGAGGCCTGTTTCCATCAATACCACCCCTGCCCTCCCTTTCTGAATAAGGCTATAGGCTTTCAAGACTGGAAGAGCCTTACAAAATCAAGCTGCCATTCAAAGAAAGGCTTATCCATGCATCAGCTCTCTTCTGCATAGTACTTTCCCTTATTTAATGCATAGAATCGACACTGCAGTGAGCCAGTAGCACATCCTGCAACAACAAATGTTTATTCGGCTTTACGCCCATCATGAAGCACAACACAACACAACAAATCAAATAAAACAGCGGACTCATACAAACCACAAGTAGTATAACACAGTTCACAACTCACAAGGACGGATATTAGCCATTCATAAAAAAGTTTAAGATTAAGATTAAAAAAATTTTGGCACTACACTAAAAACAATATCTGATGTCATTATAGAAAATTCTTATGACTATCAATAATCAGCTAACATTCCGTTCCGTCTCTTGTACGAGAGGACGGCTGTTAGGAATTTAGCACATCCTGCAGAAATCAAGCACAATGGAGGTCCTAGTGCCACAATGGATTCAGAAAGAAATTTTCTCCTACATCAGTGTTACTGACAGCGGGCAGTAACAGTTGAATTTCTGATTCCTTACCAAAGTCTTTCTTTGTTATTTTGTTTTAAACATCTACTCTATACGTTTCCCTATAACCATAGGGGGCAGCTTATAGCATTAATGCACCACAAAATGGAGTTGTTTGGGAATATCCATAGTGCAGTTGGGTCTTCACCACTGTGTGCACTATAGAGATTGCCTAGTGAGATTTTGAACTGATGAATAAAATGCAATGGGAACCATAACATGGGGATGTCTGTTGAAAACTGCTAGTGTTGGAATAAATTTCCCGTTTCCTCCTCCATTTAATTCTGAACTGTACTTTTGCCGGCAGGATAATCACATTATTTCTCATTTGAAGCACTACATAATTTACCAACCCCTGAGAAGAAAGTAGGTTTCGTTAATAGAAATTAGAATCAGGGCAGCATTTTTAATTTATTTCTTAAAGTGGCACTTTTTGTTTAACAAAGAAAGGTTGAAACTGCAAGGTTTGTCTAAGGTCATGGTTCATATCTTCAAATCGTATTTCAGGCAATCAATCAATACTTTAAAATCTATATACCATAAATCTATATGCAGAGGTGGAACTGGTTAGACCTATTCATTTTGCTTATTTAACCTACCAAGTAATTAAATATTGGATTGGATGGGAGGAAATACCAATGACAGTGTTCAAGGTCAAAGTTGACTTTATATTCGCCTCCACAAAGTGTTTTGCATATGCAGTACCAAACTGGATTTCCTTCCTTCCTTCCTTCCTTCCTTCCTTCCTTCCTTAAAGTGTCATGCATCTTTGGAAATATGTAAGCAGAATGAGCTACAGCTGGAGTGACTTCCTCCTAATACGAGTATTTGCCAAGTTGCATGCTTGGTATTATGGGGAACGTCAATGTCTTTGTAGCTAAAACAAACAAACAAAGGGAAGGGCCATGGCCACAATGTTTATTACTTATGGCAAGTGTGCTGCAGAAAAGGCCTTTGGTTAGTACTTAAACATTTTAAAATTGGGTGTGTGTGTATTGTTTTGTTTGGTATTATATTATGTATCTTTGTGTTTTTATATTGTATTTTATATTTATATTTATACTATGATCCTCAGATGAAAGGCAGTATAGAAAATATTTATTTATTTACTTACTTACTTACTTACTTACTTATTTAAAGTGTGCTTATTATAGAGTAGCATTTAGTGCTGGGGGATCTACCTGCAAATATTCCTTTGAAACATTGACTTGGCTATAATTGTAAATTGGGGTAGTATTACTCACGTTATCTTCTTGCAAGGAATCTGAAACCTGCTTTTCTTCCTATCTTAGTTTTCAGCATCACTGGGTCTGAAAACCGTAGATCAGGAAAGTAGCCAGAGTGCTTCTATATGACTGGAAACATTATTGCGTGCTTTGGTGACAACCAGGCTAAATTATTACAACTGGCTTGACACGAGTCTGCCTTTGAAAAGTGTTTGGAAATCACAGCTGGAACAAAATCCTGCAGCCAGAATTTGGGCTGGGGTGTGTTTACTGGAGCATGTGACTCCACTATTGGACATTATTTATTGGCTCCCTCCTTGTATTCCATTTGTGAGCACACTTGAAGCATTGATTTTTACCTTTGAGCCACAAATGGTTCTGGGAACACCCCTATCCATTGCCTATCCATGTAAAATTTGGCTATCCTTCCACTGGGTGGTAGGTGAGAATGGTGTGATTGACAGCTGATGTCTGATCAAATTGATGCCAGTGGAGAATAAACCAGTGGGTACCAAATGACTGAAGAGGGTTTTTATTGCCCTTCTACCCATGAGAGTTAGAAACTCTCTCATTCTCAATAATGAAATGCCTCAATAGATAGGTGCTTTAGCAGTCCCGTTCACAATTAAATCTGTGTTACTTCTACCTGGGCATTTACCCACCATTGGATCATTATGAGCCGCTCTGACTGGCCATGCTGAATATTTCCCCCACTTGGTTTCCTATTTTCTTGTCACAGCTTTACAATGTACTCTATAATTTTAAGAATGCATCTCATTATTAAGACAATTCAATAAATTTTCAATTTGTATAGCTTTAGTATCGTTAACATTCAGTAGCACATTCTGAATAGCTCATCCTTCATTTAGAAAAATGTCTGCAAAGAAACATTTCTCTGACGTATTGTGCTCTGTGGTTCATTACTTTAAACTAGAAACATACGCCACCAACACCACATATGCCTTATCTAAATTGTCGGGAGAGTATAGAAAAATTATATTAGTCTAAGGAGTCTTGCTACAAGAGTGTAAGATATCGTCCCATCTTTCCATTTATCTCTCTTCGCCTCTTTATTAACCGCTTCTCTGGGTTTCCCCTCTGAATTTCTTTTGTGACACAGAGAATCTATAACCCAACCAGGCTTTTTTAAAAAAAATAATAGGGGGAAACCAAGAAGACTGAACAAGTCAACAAAATTGTCAAAAAGAAAATGACATGGTATGGACACTCAACAATGTCAGAAGCCATGTTTTTATATGCACTGCTGCTCAACACTCCACATATGGATGTGTGTGTGTGTGTGTGTGTGTGTGGTGCATCCTTCTAGTGAAGTATAACTATATGCTAAAATTTAACAGGTTTCTACTAGGGCTGGGTGATAACTGGTTTTCAATAGTGTGGTATATCACCAGCTAAACATCGTGATATATTAATATATCAATATATATCAATATATCACGATATCTGAAATAAGGAAGGAACTACAAAGAAGTGATCAGGACAATGTCCTGGCAGCTGCTACTGCTTAAGGGTCTAAAACAGGTAAATGATGATATTATTAATCACCTCAATGTGCTACTCAAATTCACCGGACGAACTTTGCATGTACATGTATATACATGACATCTATTTAAAAGGTGGCTTCCAATGTGACTGTGATCATGTCAACTAATTCAGTCTCCTCAAATGATTCACAGATCATTCAGATTCTGTGTTCAGATTCTGTGTCAATGAGGAAATTCAGAGGAAGGAATTACGGTAAGTCTGTATAGTTAAAGCTATGGTTTTCCCAGTAGTGATGTATGGAAGTGAGAGCTGGACCATAAAGAAGGCTGATCGCCAAAGAATTGATGCTTTTGAATTATGGTGCTGGAGGAGACTCTTGAGAGTCCCATGGACTGCAAGAAGATCAAACCTATCCATTCGGAAGGAAATCAGCCCTGAGTGCTCACTGGAAGGACAGATCCTGAAGCTAAGGCTCCAGTACTTTGGCCACCTCACAAGAAGAGAAGACTCCCTGGAAAAGACCCTGATGTTGGGAAAGATGGAGGGTACAAGGAGAAGGAGACGACAGAGGACGGGATGGTTGGACAGTGTTCTCGAAGCTACAAACATGAGTTTGACCAAGCTGCGGGATGCAGTGGAAGACAGGAGTGCCTGGCGTGCTCTGGTCCATGGGATCATGAAGAGTTGGACACGACTAAACAACAAAACCTCTTAACTACATCCATTTTCCATTTATCTTTCTTTCTCAAAAAACTTAAACTGCTTATAATTTTGGTGTAGAGCAAGGGTGAAGAACCTCAGGCACAAGGGGTCAAATATAGCCCTCCAGTCCAGCTCTCTATCCAGCGCTTAGCACCCTCTT